GTCACTAGAAGAAAAGGCTCACTAAGATCCACTAAGCATAAAATCAGGTTAGTGGAAAAGTTTAAGTGGCATGAATGCATTGTTACAGAAAAACAGTGAAGATTTTGCTGGATAAAGACGATGACATGAAATTTAAGTCGCACGCAGGCATGCTGAGAAAGTAACGTTCTAAATACTTTCTGCTTACAATTACAAAATGATCAATTGTTAAGTGTTGGACAGAGAAATATATTCTATTCTGCCTGGACATGCACAGCAGGCCAAGAATGCACCTGGATAAGCCAAGCATTCATTATCTCCCAGACACTCAATATCCCATAATACCCCCAGCGGCTGCCAGCTCCTTGTCCACCCTTGACCACACGCCATGTGCCCCATTTCACAGCTGAAAAGTATTTAAAATTCATGAAGCCTGTTGAAAGCTCAACTGTCACATTCTGCTCATTCCACAGGGTATGGGAAAACTGCGCAGAAGGGACATTTCAACCGGGGCTATTATGGCTCTTGAATAACCAATATTCCATTAAATTGCTAATAAACCCACTTGAAGATAAGTTGATCACAATCGAACCATACAGTAGCATTCCTTTCCTTTAACACCAAGTTGTCAGGTTTCACTCTGTACTGTACTACTGTTTCTGTGCCGTTTGTTCGTGCCCTGACACAGAGCATTCAAGATACTCACTTTGTCCCCGGTAATCTAAATGCCCTATTCTAAAAGGGCTGAAAGATCTTTGGCAAGGATAATACTCTGCTTATTTTAAGGTAGGGAATTCTTTTCAAAGGAAAAATCTACACCAAAGAAGTGAAAAATAATTATACCTCAACCGGGATAACGTGGGGTTTTGTAACTTCTTGAACCGGGCGCTCGCAATCTGAACGTAGTGGTAAATGGTATGAGCGCTGCCCAGCTTCCCTAGCGCCCAGTCAAGCTTGGTCTGGTCTGAATTTTCATTTGAGTTCGCAGTTCAGCGACTCATTTCCTCCTCCCTCCACCAAATCTTAATTTTATCAACCAAAATAAATATGAAAAGCTTCTAAAAAAAAAACCCACCACTTAAAGATGTTTGTTTTGCATTTAAACGGATTTTGTTAGATTCCTCGCAGTTAATTGTCAAGCTGCTGGCACGCCTGCTGTTGCCTTCTGAGCTTGCTGTGTGCACATGCCATTGTGCCAAGAGGGCTCCAAATTTTGTGATTTCTAACACTGAAAAGCATGTCAGCCTCCTTCTCGGAAAGGGATTTAGAACCTCTAATTTTATATTAACTAACCTGATACTGCTGAAAAGCAGCTCCCACCCAGCTCTGAACTCTTCCCATCGATTCTCCGAGGCACGTAGGAACCAACCTACAGATTTCAGCTTCTGCACAAACGGTCGAGGATCATCATCGGGAAGATGTGGTCCCATCTAGTCTGTCTGGTGGGGAGCCACAGACAAGACCCAGTGGTCGCCACCGGGTCCGTATCGCCACATACCGAGGACAGGCAGGAATGAGAAGCAAGTGCTCCAGCGGGTGCCTGCCCAGAGCCCCCTGGAACCAGCCCAGCTTGAGGAGCAATGACCACCGTCACAGGCAGTGAAGAGAGTATTTTTCTTCACATTGAATTCACTCAATAACCGGCCTTTCACTGAGGAGCATCCAGTTGCTCCCATTTTATGTTATAACAAGGGCCCCACAGGCAGAGGCCGTACTAACTCAGCATTTTTTTCCTCTCTAATAATAGGTTTCATTCACGCTTTCAGAGAAGTTGACTTGTCTGTCTTATTTTAGCTATGCTAACACGTCCTGCAAGAGCGCCCTGAAGTGTCTAGACTTATAACACAACAATAATGGCAGAAAATTCTGCCCATTTTGCATCTCCCAACTAGTTCCAGTAAGGTTTCCACTGCTGAGTAAGAAAAGTGTCATCCCAGTAGGATTATGGAAGTTTGCTGTATACCTGAAATGGGATTAAATCCTTGAAGGCACACCAGCAGTTTTAAGTAGTCAAAAATACATCTCAATGCAAATAAGCAAACTGGGAGTCAGTCATTGAACAAACTGGCCATCACAGTGCTAGGTGGGACACTTCAACCTGAAAATAACCTTCAGCAGCCTAATAGCGTGTTGACAAATTTTAGTAAATTCTTAAGCTTTAAAGAAAAACAGGCAGAAAGCGTAAACAATTCTCCATCTCTGGTTATTGTTCCTTGAACCCAGACTGATGAAGGCGAAGAAAGAGCCAGCTTCGCAAGCCCTGCTTCTGCACCGACTTCCACTTGAGGCTTACAGTCATAAGGAGGAAACGAGAACAAAGCTGCGAGCCCTGAAACGTGAAGAGCACGTGCAAGATGCAGCTGTTGGCGCAGCCTCCTTATAACCACACATTTTGAAGCGATAGAAACTTTTGTATACGCAGTGCCCTGCCTTTCCTTGCAAGCCCACCGAGCCTTCAGGCAGCTGCCTGCAGCGCTGGGCTGAGAAGAGCCTCTATCCCCCCGCAGGGCGCTCGCTGTGCGCCCTGCAAACGCAGAAAGGGACAACGCCGCCTCTTGGGCTGCTTTGCTGGGACATCCCTCACCCTCCCGTGACAGAGGGATGGCAGCACAAGCTCCCTTCTCACCTTGTGCGTTTTTAAGCCATAAAACTCACAGGATTTCACTTGAAACCATCAGTAATGGTGGGCAGACTCCCTTCATTGTAAGGTGCGTCACCATAACGCGATGCTAACAAAACCACAGCTCCTACTTGTAAACCAGCCTGCTCACGCCCTGCCTCCCCTCACTGATGTCTCAGGGGACTCAGGGCACTGTTTCTCGGTGTGACCAGAGAGTTATAGCATGGGAAGTTTATCTGATCAAACCTCTTACGTGACAGCGTCGAGTCCCACTGCCCAAGAGGGGACAACGACCCACCAGACGCAGAACCATGCCCTCGGCCTGAGGAGGGAGCGTGGGAGCCTTCCCAAAGCCGCTCCAAACCCTCGCCATCAGAACTGCCGTGAAAGGCACCCGTCCACCTCGTCACCAAGCACCACCTTCTGATACAGGTGATACACCATCAAAAGGCCTGAAAAAAACCTGTGAAATTCTTGTTTGTGACAGACATCAAAACGCTTGGGAAAAGGAAACAGCCACCTGCCCCTCGCGCAGGGATGTTTCACCCAGACAAGAAGGGCACACACACAAACTCAGATCTAAAAAGCCCTGATCTATGCAACGAATATTAACAAAGTACAAGCCCAAGGAACTCCTTTAAGGCCTCCCTGCATTTAATTACCTTGAAGTCTACATGTGTTTCAGTGCATTGACATTCGCACAGCTCCCCCAAACAGTTTCTGCAATACAGGCACAAGGATTGAGAATTTAAAGCATTTTGTGAAGATGCAGCACAGCAACACACATCCTTTTAATGCTCAGTGATGGATGAGCACTGATCAAGCTTAAACCCAAAACCTAGACTAGAATACTGTTTTTTTCTAAACAGAAATTGCTTAGGTGCTTATTCTAAGTTCGAGTCATTTCAAACCTCAGAGAACACCCCTGCTTCGATCACCTGCAAGAATCATCAACACAACTCCACGCAGATTTGCCAGGAGAGCATCGACTTGCGGGTGGGAATTAGGAGGGTCAAACCTGAACACAGGACCTGAGCTCTAGGCAGGTTGGCAGAGGAAGAAATCCTGGCCCCACTGAAGCCAGAATCCCTCCCATCCAAGATGCCCCTTTGCATTTTATACAATAAATACAGAAATGCAAATGTCAGCAGGCCTGGAAGGAAAAAAAGCACTATAAGAGCATTAACAGGTGCAATATGGTTCATTGGTTTGCTCCCTTCCCTGCCAAACAAGCTGCTACACACATTCACATATCCCAAGACCATATTCTTTCAATAGAGCTAAGTATTGTGTTCAGCTAAGAAGTGCAGTGAAATCAGGGGTGGGTGGGAGGGTGGTAGCATTACATTTGCAAAAGAAATAAATTCCCTTCACATGTCCGCAACTCGGTTACTCTGCTACTGTATAAACACCTTCCACTTACAAATGGGCAAAATACAAGTGGGTTTCAACAAAGGGAAACTCATATTGCACAGGGACGGCAGGAAAAAATGAAGAAAAGGAAAATAACAGCTAAGTAACTGCTCAAAGATTCTACTTAAAGCTCTTCTAGGAGAAGGACAACTC